TCGCTCTCCTCTCTCTCTGTCTTCTCTCTCTCTCTCTCCTCCCTCCCTCCCCTCCTTCTCTCTCTCTCTCTCTCTCTCTCTATATATATATATATATATTTATATTTATAACATAACTACTTTTCTCACAAACTTCTATTTTTCTACGTGTCTCCAAGTCTCCACACGAGGACTTCCGTTTCCCCTCGTCACTGAATTGGCCCTCTACTGGTTCTTAAAGAGGTTGTATCACTTACTGTCGTCGATGATGATGATGATGATGATGAAGATGATGACGATGATGGAACGAAGCCAGTCTCGATTCTCTCAGCCTCGTCCAACTGTGCGCTACCGGGTTCGGGAGGCGGGTTTGGGTTTGCTCGCTCGTGTGCCAGTACATCCCGAGATTGGATACGTGATTTCTACGTGCTGTGAGATTTCGGCGTGCAGCTGTGACATCGAACTCCCCGAACGAGTTTTGAGAGAGTGCGGAAAAGTGGCTATGTAGTACGAGAGAGATCAACAGGTGCCCGAAAAATGTGCAAAACCGTGCTCCCGTGTACGGGGGGAGGAGGAGAAGGTGGGAGGGAGGGAGGAGAAGGAGGAGGGAGAAAGAGGGAGAGGGGGAGGGATTAATTAAGACGGCGGACGACACCGGTTGGTCGTCGTGACGTAGGAAACGGTGAAGGAGAAGAAGAACATAGTACGCACATCGATCATACCAGAGAGATAGAGGTGTGAGGCACAACACAGGCGGTGCGTGTAAACAGAGAATACAATATATATATATATATATATTTATAAATATACGTAAATATACGTAAAAATAAAGAAAAGAAAATTATCGGAGAAAGGTGCAATTGCGAAACATTACCCAGTGTGTGATCAGGTCAATAATAAACAACGTGTGCGTGGACAGATGTGTGCCAGTGACTGTGTGTTTCTGTGATGAGGAGATACTTGCTTCTTGTGACTGCGTGCTGCCTTCCCCCTTATCCTCCTCCTCCTCCTCTTTCCCAAAATTGGGATCTTTTCTCATGCGATACTCTCTAACAGATAGAACTTCTTTCCTCAAATCCTACGTACTCCGTCGCACATAACAAAACACTCTTCCTCTTCCAGTTGAATCCACGAAATCTACGAAAATCCTCCGGTATATGGCGAGGTCTTTGAAACAAAACTTTTCTCGAACAAACGTCGATCTCGTCGATCGAAATTCGAATTTAATGCCAGTTTTCTTTTTCTTTTTTCTATTCTCTTCTTCTTCTTCTTCTTCTTCAAAACTCCTAATATTCTACAGTCTAGAATAGAATAGTTGTAGCTAGGTTCTTCTCTGTGTCACAAGCACCGTGTCATCCAGTTTATTCATCACCGACGGACCGGATCACGTCTTCTTCCCGGATCACGCGAACACAAAATGGTGCGAACACCAGTCGGTTAGCATGTTGCTCTGTCAAACCGCGTTCGTTGATAAACTCGTCGTCCACCGTCCACCGCGACGATGACGCAGATCCGTTGAAAAAAGAAAAAGGAAAAAAGGAAGAAGGGGAAAAGAAAGAAAGAAAGAATGAAAGAAAGAAAGAAAGAAAGAAGCAGCGGTACACGAAAGTCGATCGAAAGGTATCCACCGGCGGTGTCAACCTCTCTCTTTTCCACCTCTCTCCTTTCTCTTCTAATCCTCTCCGTGATATCGATAATCAGGCGTGATCTCGATGCGACCAATATCGCGTAGTAACGTGCTCGCAGTACGGTGCTCAGAGAGAGGGGAAAAAAAAAAACCACACTTTCCTCGAGGTTCAACTGCGTACAACTCTCTCCCCGACGAGGTTGTGTTCTCGCATGCTCGACTCGGCGAACTGAGTGTAGATATACGTACGTGCCCACGTATATGTATACGTAGTGTTCTGGGTAGACGCGAAGGTGGCGAAGAAAAAAGGTGTCCGTGTGTCCCTTGTTTGAATCGGTCGCCGGTTACTCGATACAAATAACGCCGTTCGATCGTGATCACGCGGGCCGGACAGGAAGTCGCGAAAAAACAGCGGCTACGGAGTCGGTGAAAAGGAGGTTGCGGCCGTGGATGTTGCTTTGTTGGCCGAAGGTCGAGGGATGGAGGATTGAAGGGTTGGGACGGTGGGTTAGTTTAGCGAGTGAGCTGGCTGGCGCCCTCACCAGAACTAACTCCCACGCTGCGCGGCAAGAGTCACCGGGTTTAATACACCGCGCATCTCCCCACCACCACCTCAGACACCTGCCACTCTCTCTTTTTCTCACCTTCGCTCCCTCTTTCTTTCTCCGCCTGCTAACCCGGCCCCGGCCACCCCGTTCGTGCATCGTTCACGCTTCCGTTCCGCATCGAGTCGCGGCACACACCGGCTTACACTTGTGCTTTCTTTTTTCTTCTCTCTCTCTCTCTCTCTCTCTCTCTCTCTTTTTTCTTTTTCTCTCGTTCTTCCTTTCGTTTCTTTCCCCTCCCTCTTTGCGTTTAACGCTCGTTTGTTTTTAACGCTTCGCGAATACGACGAATACGCGAGATGGTATGTCTGGTCTGGGTAAGGAAGTTTGAATCGTGCAGTTTGGGATTGAACCGAGTAGGCGAGATTTCGCGAGCTTAACAGCTGTTGCTGGGGGAATTGTTGAGAATGGAAAAGGAATTGGACGATCGTGAATATGACAAAGGGGTGTATTTTGAATTTTGGAAATTTTTTCAAGTTGACACGTTGAAAATTATACTCAAAGCGAAATTTAGGTACGCACTTTTATTCCGATATTGAAATGTTATTATATCTGTTTATTTTTTCATCGCGTTATTCATATAACGAATTTATATTCGTCATGATCGTTGGGTTGCTAGTTTTGACGTAATAGACGAATATCACATGAACGTATTATTTCATCTGTTGCGTAATTATTTTTCAATTAATTTATTAAGCTGCGTGGAAGTTAATTCCAATTTTTGTTGGAATGATGTTTTACGCTTTACAGCTTTGCCCATTTTATTCCGGTTATTGTAAAAATGTAATATCCCACAATCGATGAACTCGTGAAAAGCGTATTTCGTCTGATGAATAAAAATATTGCAAAAAAGTTGTTCCTTTTGTTCGTCATTTTATCTCTAAAACTAAAAAAAAAAAAAACTAAATATCAATCGTACATCCCGAAATTAGAATTCTGAGAGTTATCCAAACGCAAAGAACACTTGGTCTATCGATGTTCGATATACCAATCCAAGAATAAAAGAAGCCAAAGCTCCGATTGATCAAAATCGGAAATTCCGGTGAAAATTTTAAAGGAAAACAAAGATCGGTAAAATTCAATTTCCTCGTTCTTTCTTCATCGAATTGTACGTACAAGGAAGGGGAAAGTACTATCACGTAAGAAATTTGAAGATATTGATCAGCCATACGTTTAGACGTATCGGATAGTCGACCCACGCGAAGGGTGCTTTCGAGGCCATTAAAAATTCTATCCAATAAACATCTCGCCAGAACATGATATTCCACGATATCACGAACGATGAATATCCCTTGACAGCTTAAAAGCGGAATATACACGAAATTGTCGACACTTGCACTCACCATTGAATCGTATATGCTCGTTGAAACGGATTTTACAGCTGAAATATGCTTGACACGACAAGTGTGAACGCAAACTGGGAAGATTCGAATGCACGCAGGCCACTATGATTGATGAGCATCCATTCATCGTAGCAAACGCTTTACAAAGTTCAGCAAACCGTTATTTACTCGGCTTTCGCGTAAAGCTCGCAAGGAGGGAAGCGAGAAAGAGAGGGAGTGGAAGAGAGAGAGAGAGAGAGAGAATGATCGTGGTTGGATTATTCGATAGACATCTCAGGTTGGATTTAATGCCACGAAAACAATGGGGCGGTTGGTTTAATGCATTGCTTTAATAACGAGTTAGTCAGACGATGATTGCCATAATACTTTGCCTTAATGTGTTGTGAGATGTGCTTCAGGATCTCTACTCGAGAGTTGCGCTTTCAACAAGTTTAAGGGTTAATTTAGTTAAAGAGTGAGAAATATATTTTTCATTGGTTTATTCTTTTCATTTAGATTAGATCGAATCAAATTTCCTGCCAAATGTATTATTTATGTTTTATAGTTTTCTGCACTCTGCTCGGTATATTCATTTCTCGATACATTTATATTTTTCTCGAATGTAATAAGTAGTAAGTAATTACAGTTTATAAATGTATGAATTTCTCGTCACATCTCTTGAAATCAGAATTTTGATGAATTCAGAAAGTTGTTTAACTTAACCAAGGATAACTTCATAGTTTCTCGAGTTCCTGGCAAATATCTTAGCAACCAAGTGTCAACACGTTTCGAACTGCTCATAAAATCCAATAATTAGAGCAGTTTGACCAAGTTTCCGTATCAACATGCTTCTCTTAACCGCGTCTCTTTATTTTGACAAAGTAGTTACGAAGCCCGACGTATTGATAGTAAGTAAACATGCTCGTGTTCGCAGCCTTTCATATTTTGTTTACACATTGGTCGGGACCGATGTGAATTATGAAACCTATTGGACTTCATCGAGGCTACTTATTTCACTTAAAAAAATTAGATTTTTCAAAAGATGGAATTTGATTTAAAAATTTACTTTCAATAATTGAAAATCAATTACTTTTTGTTTAACAAATTTAAATCCTTTTTAAACGTAAAAATCCAGTAGTAAAATTACAGATTCATGATTGAAATTAATTATAGAAAGAAATCATTTTTTTTCTTTTTCAATCTTTTTCACCTATTATCTTTTCTTTTTTTTTTTTTTAATTAAATAATATTCACTATTTTCTAAATTTCTCTCGGTAAAAAAACTTTTTGAAACGCTTTAAAATGGTGGTGCTTCCTTTTTTCTTCATCCTTCTAAAAAAGGAGAAAAAAAAATCGAGGGACATTCGTGTGAAATAGGAAGAAATCGAGATATCCTCTCCTTGCTTATTTATACCTTGAACGTGGCATCATGGTTAAAGCTTACACCAAGACACTTACTCTAAAGCGATCGTTTTAGCTGGTTTCTCTTGGTTTTTTACGCTGTCGTGGTACGATGGTACTTCACTTTCGTATTCACGATGCCATCGTTTACGTTCTTATTATTTGCCACGAACGTTTTAACACAGTTTATTTTCATCAAACTTGACTATATTGTCACGTCGTAATGTTATTTTATAAATTTTTACGAAGTTGATAATATTATTTAATTTTCTCATCCTACGAGCAATATAAGTATTAGTCTCTCCTTCGTTCTGAAATTTTCTCATCTTGCATTTTCTATTGCATCCATTAAAAATTTTTCATATATAATAAAATTAAACGATAAAAATATATTGTACAAGATAATTAATAGTTAAAGTTCTATTTTAAATGTTAAATAAAAAACACAATTTTAACAAGATTAAAAATTTTTTTCAAATCTTTCATCGAGTATTATTAAATTCTGAAAATCCATTTTTTTTTTTATATATTTCATAAATGTTGTATGATATATTTTATACATCTGTCAAATCCAACCTAAAAGCTCCTATCTTTTCGTTATTTTTATTATTTTTAAAAATCAATAACAAACAATAAAATTAAATCATATTCCATTAAAAATAATAATAAATTGAAATATGTCTTATCACGTATCTATCGCAAACAATTTTCACATGGAATACAAAATTTTAACCGATCAAATCCATTTTTTAACGATCTGCATCGATTATTATATATCATTTCCAAATATTCTAACATTGGTCAAGCGTTATTCGATATTCCGTTAAACTCTCTGAATACGCTATTAAAATAAAATCTATACGACATAAAACCTACATACACAATATGTGTAAACCAGTTTTCACTATGAAGTGGCGAACGATCAATTTTCCATTGACATGAAAAGCTAAAA